TCTCTCTCTCTCTCTCTCTCTCTCTCTCTCTCTCTCTCTCTCTCTCTCTCTCTCTGTCTCTTCTTTTTCAATAAATCGCTTCCCACGTATGCGACATTCACGCGTCCATGTGGGCGCGCACACGCACTTTTACCCCCGCATAGATCTTGTACTTTCTGCCTAGAAATGGTGACTCTGAGAAAGCGAGTGATACAAGAAACACTTTTAATGTATGACACAAAACAGCAACCTTTACAAAAATTCACGATCCATAATTCAGTTGCGTTAATAAACTTGCTCTATCCACAATTCTATTAGCAGCTTCATTATCTATATACATAACCGGTCCTTTTAGCTATATATTTGTTGCAACATCTGTCGGATCATCGTGCTAGGTCACTACATTAAGTCATTACATGCAGTTGTGGCATAATTATGAGATAACGTACAACAAATAAATTATACAGTTATTCTTAATATATTATAATATCATTTGCATGAAATTATAGACGATACTTTTTATACGTTTTAACATATTCTTATCTATAATTAGAAGATTCTTTATCATTGCGGCCACTTTCAATGCTGATACGATCAGAAATCGTAATAAACTTTATGGATTACTAAGTCTTCCGGAACTCCTTCAAAGAGAAACGATGCAATTAATTAAATAAAATTCTTCGAGCAAATAATGATCTTCTAGCTACAAGATTTTAACGCATAAAAATTTTTATTTCTATTTTTTAAAGAGAAAAAAGCGAAAGAATGTATCCTGAGCACATATGTATATCAAACGATGGTTCCAGGTCCTCGCCAGGTGAGTGCACACGGGAGAGTGACCGTTACGCAGGTAAGACGCAGGTAGAACGCAGGTTGGTTCTCCAACTTGTAGCGCCACCTGAGCCGATCCATCGTTGGTGCCTCAAAATGGCCGTTCCTCTCACCTCAGACCTTCCTGGAACGCCGACGGAGGCAGGTGGCGATATTCAGATCCGATCTAACTCGCGAAGCTGCCTGGCTTAGTGCCAAGACCTCATTCCAGGTGGCGAACAACCGAAACCGTGTCACCCAAGACGTCCGTACGCGCCGTGCTGGAAGGTCGAAAGTGGCTGTCGTGCGTGTAATCGCGCGAGAGTAGTACTCGTGGAGGAGTACCTGAGAGTACACGGTGGTATCCACGAGGCAAATTTGACGGAATCCCGGGAATTCTGATCGTGAGGCGTTTCATTGACAAATAACGATTGATATCGCAGCGATCGCTGGTGAACAGGTGGACTCGATCGGTGGTCCACTTGATTCGCTTCTCTTCGCCGTTCCCTCCTCGTGTTCCTCCTCGTCCGCGTCGCGCGCGCGCGCGCGGGACTCGTGAAACGGAGCGAGGCGCTCGCTTGGTGATTTCGATGCACGGTACGGAAATAATCGGTAAATCGAAGGAGACCGTGAGTGATATCGCGCGCGTGATCGTTACGTAGTGCTCGAGGCTTGTCATTACCTGCGATCTTCCACTAAGCTGCAAAGTAGTCGCACCCAAGGCGATATCAAGAACCAGACAACTTAAGAGAAGGAGACATGCCTGGCAGTCACGGAAGTCATCGAGACTGCTCGTGAATGACGCTGAAGCGAAGATTATGAGGACGTACGTATCGCCGCTCGAGGATAAGGATAAGTCAATGTATTTGCGTTTTTGAGAAGCAAGAGTTGTTCTACTTTTATTGGAGCGGAATTACCGCTCCACGGTTCTGTGATTTTCGACAAATGATCATGTAGAAATTTACTGTGTATGAGTGTGAGGAGTATCATTAGTATTCGTGATTGGCTAAATGATCTGTGTGATTAATGGTTGTCTATCTTTTGATGATGGTGTATCAATTCTAGAACTTCTTATGATGGCACTTCTCATGATGGTCATTTAGATAATCTATCAATATTTAAACGATTTCATGGATTAAGAAAGTCGAGTCTACCTGCAGATCTTCGTGAATAATGGGGAAATGTCTCTAGACTTATTCACTAAATTTTAGTAATTATTCAATATTCAGTGTCGATGGCTGGTATGAAACGTCGCAAGAGTATTGTAGAACCAAAATTAGGATACGTGCACGGATACGTCATGCACGAGTAAACGTATTGATATTTATTCGCGCTGTGAATTCAAAATACTCCAGATCAAAGCATCGCTGTCATATCAAATTTCGCGAATGTTTTCCGAATAACTATAATAATAATAATAATAATAATAATTTTCCAAACGGAAAACCGAAAGATTAAAATTCGTAGAATTGAATACATTGGAAATCAAATGGAAAAGAATATCATTAATAATATAAAGACTTCTCACAAACAACGGTCGAGTTTTACACAATTTAATTGATTCCATTATTAGTTCAATTAAGTTAATAAATACTAATGGAATTAATATTTTTAATATCCCAATCATGACAGATGATAATCAATGTACTTCTTTTATCTAATTCTACATTAGTTACGCCATATAAGCCTATTTCTATCAATGTAGATACACTTTAATCTCAGGTTGATTTATTCTTCAGCTTTTTCTAATTCTTAGAAATAGAAGAAGCTAAAAAGTAAGTTAAACCGAGATTAAAGTTAACCTACATTGGTAGAAGTGAACATTAAAACTAAACAACTGGCAATCAACAAAATCGTTTTCATGAGTTGCTTTGCGGCAAATTTCTTCATATTACATTTATATTTACAGATACGATAAGAATTTTGCATAACACTGTTAGATATTATCGAAAGAACAATAGTAATCTAATCCCTTAAATTGAATAACATTTCATTATTTTTAATTTTCACGTTAAAATGTAAATCAATCCATTTCTGTGATTAATTTCAAAGTAAACATCGTTCATATTAACATATGCAATTAATAAATAATGCAATTAATAAAAGAAATTTAAGTCTCAAATTTAATATTCTTTCATTTTCTTAAGTTAAACTCCATTGTTTTAGTCAAATTAACGATATATTGGATAGAAGCATTTATACAAATAATAAAAAATAATTCAAATTGAGTATAATTGGACATTATAAATTTAACAGTATCTAGAAACTTGTTATATTATAAAATTTGAGTTGCTTAAAAAAATTGATATGAATCTGTCAGTTATAACATTAAATCGATATTTCTTTCCTCATTTGCGCAACGTGTTCCGTTATCGCGTCGTTTTCACGAAACAACGTTCCGCGCGTACATATCCGAAACGAGAGTCGCGGCCGCATTCCCTGCGATTTACCTTATAATAAAGTTTCTCGTGTCTCACAGCGTGCGTGACACAGCAACGCGAGACGCGTGCGTGTGGCTTGCATGAATGCTTAGAAGAAGGTAGACCAAAATGGGGACACGAGCATTATCGCACAATAAACGAAGCGAGGAATGTCATAAAATAAAATAATAAAAATAATTTTTTACATTACGCTATAAAGTTCCGACAGGCGTCTCGCTTTCTTCCTTATACTTTTCTAAAATCGCCGCTTTCGATCCCATCTCATCGTTGACTCCGGATCTCGGCTCGTCGTACCGAAGCGGATTTTATCGGTAACGAAGAAGCCTCAAGAATCACGATTGCGTGGGTACGTGTAGGTGCGATTACGCCATCGGGCTTTTTGTAATGAGCGCCGCGATAAATGACGCATCGCTCTCTCGGATCGCCGGAAGATCGCATAATTTATAAAGGAGCAACGCGCCATTACGCGACCATTCCATCAACGGCGATCCGTTCCTCGCTTCGGAATTATGCAATTCGCCATAATCGTACCGCCTCGATCACATCACATTCCATTCGGGGAATTACTGTTCTCGATGTACGCAAAACGTCGACTGCCATTGATCACTGCAGCCAAACGGAAAGTAAATGGAACATAGACTTCAAATTCTCGAAGTAGTTGAAGAACGACCTTGTTCCGGAATATTTGTCAATTTTTCCAAGATTAAATACGTTCTCTTTAATACCGTTCACTTAAATGTTAGTTCGAGACTCCCACACATCATCTAATCTCGACTTCAAAGAGTCACCCTCCACTTGCGGTCACTCGTGCAAAAGTCGCTCGTGATGGTGAAATTTATGGGAATTTTATGATTTCCGTACTTCGCTGAAGTGCGCCACGGAGTAAAATGTGCGACTTAATGAGACGAGTTAAGGAGTTTCCGTTACAGAAGCGAGCACGCTCGCTCGGGTAGAGATACGGGCATTAATCGGACAGTATTCCATTACAAAAATTATCGTTCCGATTGAAACGTAGCTCTTGCGCGGTGACGTGTCAAAAATTGCACGAGACAGGCGAGGGGATTATGACAGGGTCGATTTATCATATTCTATTAGCGAATAACAGGATTTACACCTGTGCGCGGCAATACCGTAGGTATCGCGGGTAACTCGATGCAAGATACTACCGGTACAGTTGCGTCATAATCAATATTACGCATTATTAGTCCCATCGCCGAGGCCAGTTACCGACTAGCTGGATTATATACAACGCGATGGTAGCAAGCATAAACATTAGCTCGACAAAGTTCGAACGATATAGTTCGAGCCGCATATATGATGACGATCGCATTAAGTATCTGACAAAATGAGAATCCGATATTCGAAAACAGAGAAGATGCGAAAGAAAACTTGCCAAGTATGAATCCAGAGTCGATTTCTGAGTATACGAAATTGCACAACGAGAAAAATGTCTGGTTGGATTAATTGGAATTGAAAATGAACGAATCAGAACTTTCTGGTTAAATTTATTAAATTCTAATTGTGATAACCGATTAATTCTGATTAATATACTTAATCAGAATGTTCTGGTTCAAATATTTTTACTTAGATATTTTTCTCAATGTAATGATTACAAAGTAATTTTAATAAATTAGTATGTGCGTGTAGTACACTTTACATATGTACATATCTTTTATACATATCTTAACCCTATAAAAACTACATCTAATTGTAAGTTTTAAAGTTCATCCTATTTGAAGTATAGAATGCAAGTGAGATGGCTCCACCTTAAAGTGATTAATAGAGAAAGTTTTTATCTACGGTTTTTTATCTACAATTTAAAACTTCATAATACCAATCCTTATAGTACCAGAAAATTATACACATTGTATAACCGTTCAAAAATTTTAGTTTAGAGTCCAAAATCATTGCTAATTAATATCACTAATAACATTGTCAATAAAAATAAATTTTTTTTGTTCACACATGGAAAACTCAAATTTTCCGTAAAAGTAGAGATGAAATCTAGTATCAGCGTTTGACGATATCAAATCATTTACATTTTTATGCACATTTAGTTTTATTTGAACAGATTATTTCAGAATGATGCAAAATAAAATTTTACAATTGTCTAAAAATCATGTATTTTCATACAAAATTAGTCGCTGAATGAGAAAATTAAAAAACAGGAATAAAGAAAAATGATAAAAATATATGTTTTTAATTAAAAATTACTCAAAATTTTCGATCTTTCTATAAAAGCAGTCATAATGCATTTTTCTTGAAGTTAGCTATACCGCGATTCGATTCAGGCTTACAATGCTTATGAACATTATTTCATCCTTGTTGTTTATCAAATATTAAATGCTCACAAGTGTGCATTTTCAGAACCTAAAACAAAAATAAAATAAGTTGATGAAGCAAAGTAAAAATTAAAAAAGAAAAGAAAAATGCAGTGTCCATATCGTAATAACTTTTGTTATTTGTGCAATTTATATATGCCACCAAAATATATTCGCGCAATATATCGAAAAGTTTTGTGGAAGGTTTTGAAGATTATTTTGTTAAAAATGTCTTATGTCAAATTTATGGTACGTGCCGGAAGTTGCGTATAATTACTGATATCGTGCTATACTCGCATGAAAACACGCGAAAATAAGATTCAATTAATAAATTTTTTAACTTTAAAATTTAGCTTAACTTTAATAAATTTAAATTTAATTTCCTTTATTTTATTAGAAAAACGAGTAACAAATGTTGTTTTTAAATGAAGTCATGCAAATACATTTTCTCATTATAATATTTACAAAGAAAATCATAGAAAGGCCGAAAAAAGGCTGAAAAAAGGAGAAATTTGAGCGATTTTCGACTAAAAATGCATTTTTTTCATCATTTTGCTCTACTCCAATTGCTTTAATTTAATTGTTTTTTCATTCAACGATCAATTTTACATAGAAATACATAATTTTATGAAAATATATAATTTTCAAACAATTGTAAAATTTCATCATGCGTCGCAGACAAAGTGAACTCTTCTAAACTTCGAACGTGCACAAAAACCGCAAATGATTTGATATCGCCAAATTAAACGCATGCTCGTAGTGGATTTCATCTCTACTTTCACAGAAAATTTGAGTTTTTTATATGTGAGAAATGCTGTCGCACGATGTAACAGTTTTCTTGAACATTCATCCATACAGCACAGAAGCTTACAGCAACATTGTTGCAACATTTTAAATATTACTACAATATTGCTGAAACATTGCAATGTTGCTACAATATTGCTGGAATGATCTGTGCAATATGAGTTAAATATAAAAATAACTCCAGCGTAATCATGAACAAATTTTTTACGATTCTTCGGTGCACAGGATTTTGCTGAGAATCAACGAACTATCCGAGAACAGGTCATACACACCATGGCCTCATTTACAAAGAATTAGCTCATACTCTCGCGATGCGTGATACGGCGACGTACGTATAAAATGCTTTCTCCCGATATGCTGGCATGCACCTCATATTCTTCGAAAAAAAGGAACCTTCCAATATGTTCCATTGGTACATCATCATCGGGATCGCAATTGCTTTTACCGCACGCATTTGATTTAATGGTGGCAAAGACTTCGTTAGAAAGTAAAAAACCGGGACGATGACCTCGCCAATTGGCTGTGGAAAACCTTATTTCATGAGAGAAAAGGAGAACCAGAGATTAGGCACGTGTCGCGTTTCATGAATGCCTTGCTAATAACATGTCGCAAGCACTATTGTCCCTACCGTCTATACGAAGAATTTGCCATAAGCATTTTCTGCGAAGTCAATTGCAATTTCTAATAGCCGATTAAATTGTTATTTTTGATACTTAAGGTAAAGATTTGATTTTTTGTTGTAATATTTCTTTTACAGCAGAATGCACAATATACTTACTTATTTTAATTTTATTTTATGACATAAATTTATTCATTTTCTATTATATAAAAAATATATAATATTCTATTATATAAAAATATTATATAATAAAGAAGAATGTATGAATTTATGTAAAAATATATGAATTAAGTAACTGTACCTCATCGTTAATTATCTAATTGTTTATTCAAAATATTATTCAACAATGAGAGAAAGTTGAGAAATAATTTAGTGTCTGTAAAATCTGAATCCTAAATGATAGTTATTTGATTGCTAGTCGCTATGATGGCGGTTATGTATTATAAGAATTTAGAAAGCATTGCGGTCAGATAGATGCAAGAAGTAGTGCGTTCAGTCAATTTAGATAGTACACTATGTTTTTCCATAACTCGGTTTCACAAAAGATTGTCAACTAAGAACTTGTTTCACAACCAAATAAATTGAAAAAGAAATAGATTTATGTATCGATAATAAATTATTTTTCTATAAAGCAGAGAATGACTGGAGTATGATACTATAATATTTATTTCTTATATTTAACTCTCAGTATTTAGACTTATCGTTGTATTTAGAATTTTGTGCAACTGTGTGTGCGTTAACGCATTTAATAATATATTATTAATTATCAATCTAATATGTGAGAAAGAAATAACTAAGATGATAAGATTAACAAATTCATAGATGTATATTAATGTTGAGACTTGCAGAAATTCTATTAAATGCTCACAGCTGAACGGTACGTGGGAAAATCTCGCTGAGCATTAGCCATATTCACTGTCATTAAATATGTTGCAATTGCTTCTTTAGTCGCCCACTTCATGAAGTATTGGCAATGTTTCGTTGCAAAATTTTACAGGAAAGTGTCGGCGATTCAGGCTCGCCCCGTATACCTTCATTCTCAGATCTTACTACGGATATTATCTTTCAAAACCCTCGATGTGCTTGGCAATGCATCCAATACGAAGGAGCACCGATAGAATTAGAAATTCCACGATAAAGCAGCCGCACGCGATAACGGTGTGCAATTCGGGCTCGTCGGGAAGAAAACTCACTATTGTCGAATTGGAGCGTAAAGCAAGCTACATTCGCGTGTTACGAACGCTGAGAAATCTGCTGGCGTAATTAACAGTTGCAAACTAATTATTGCGTATAATTCCTTCACGTGCGTTTGATTCCCACCTTCGGCATCTCGCGTATTCATATCCGGTGTACGAAAGAAATTATTAAACACATAACAGCGATTTTACTTAAACATTTCTGAAAATACAAATTGAAAGTACAAAAGTATCAAATAACAAAGTACAGATAATATGTAAGAAACAGTAGAAATTAAATACATCGTCGTAAACCTGATATTCATTCGTTCCACTAAAATTAATTAAGTAAAAATTCTCTCGTTTTAACATATTTATCTATCTATTTCAATACAGTTATACCTGTTCGATATAATTAAACAAAAATAATAACATCTGTAGATATTTTCTTCTTTAAACATAATTCTTATAGCAATTTCTATCAATATAGATTAATTTTAATCTAACTTATTTTTTATCTTTTCGTAATTTTTAAAACTTAAAAGAAAAAGATAAAGAATTGAAATAAGATTAAAATTAAACTACAGTAGAAACATGCATTAACGTAACAGATTTACTTAACGCATGATTAATTAATTCAATTTCACATTCGCATAATAAATTCCATGATTAGAAATCGAGACTAGATCGATTGCGACATTTTCTTTGAAAGAAAAATCAAAGAGAAATTAGAAATGTACGGTTATGCTACGCGAGTCATGTGCCGATCTCTAAACAGCCTGTAATGCCCAGTTATTCGTCTCGCCGGCGTCGCCTTGTATTTATCCTGGCGGTGAGAGGTAATTTTTCTATTCCCTGATCGAGGCCTTTAATTTCCAAGGTCGCACGGATCGAGAGCGAAACACTGCACCGTACAAGACTGCAGCGAGCGGTGATCAGGACGAGGAGCCGGAGGATTCCGGTGAGGGAAGAGGATACTGGATTCGTCAAAACGGTCCTTCGAGGCGGGTATCATGTATCGACCGAACTTTTACGAGAGCACATGTCTGAGATGCGCTCAGACTGTTTACCAAGTCGACAGGGTGGGTCCCTTGAAGGACTTTACGTTTTTCCACGCTGGCTGTTTCAAGTGCGCAATTTGCGGTACCAAGCTCACCCTGAAGACCTATTACAACAATCAGCACACGATCAATGACAAAGAAGTGTACTGCAGCAGTCACGTGCCCAAACCCGGACCTGGGACTCTAGATGGATCTAGCGTGGGCATCAGAAGCGCCCTTAATGTACCTAGAAGCGGCTATGTTAACGAGCAGATCAGGGCAGGAGGTGCGTCTCCGCGCGGTGTCTTCCCACCTTGGTGAGTGTACTTCTTTTTCTATTAATTAACTTCGTTTTCTATGATTAATCTTTAACAATCTGTATTTTCAATTTGTATGCACGGGATCTGGTTATCTGTCTTTAAATCCAACACACGTAAATCCAACACACAGTATAATATCAAATATTAAAAATGATATTTATAAAACTCATAATATATCGCGATCTTTTCAATTTCTGTCGCATGCGTAACATTGCGTATAAAGCGTTATCTCAAGCTCGTTTCTTCCCAATTTAACCTTGAATAATTAGAAATTTATTGTAATACAGATAAAAATTTAATGCATTTGCATTTATATATCGCGTCTATCTTATCTTAACTTTTACATGTTGCGTTACATTATGATTATGGAATATAGTATTTCTCTTTTTATATACATGATTCAACCCATGAAAAAAAGTCAATAAATAAAGCGAAAGAGACGCTTAGAATATTCAACTTGCATTAACAAAATTAAATTTTTTAATAAGCTCAAAACGAAGTCCATGCATGTTTTTCTTCAGTACCGTTATCGTCTAAACTGTATATACAAGAGCTATTCTCTTCGGAGAATATCAGAAGTAATTTTGGCGCTATTCTATGATAACAAATCGTAGTGTAATGGCTCTTTAAATGCCCCTTTGTGAACATATCTGTTTTCTTTCGGCAAATAATACTCTCGCGAGTCATTCAAGTTTGTAGAACGCTGCATAGATTTAAATACGTAACGCTCTCAGCCGAGCTCATTTGAATCGTAAATAGGCGCGAAGCTAGACTCTTCACCTCAATTTCCTATATTAAAGAACAATGCGATACTTTGTAACACGTGTCATCGCTTCTTGCGCGCGTCACTGTGTATTCTAATTTCGTCGATTAGCAAAGGTAATCTCGCAAGGAAGTGTCGGCCACCGCTCTCAGTTTTATGTTTCATGGTTCTTGTATCTTTTCTCGCTAAGCTTTCCTTTGTGCCAAAAACACAAACGTAAACAACACAAAACATTTAATTTAATAACATTTTGACGCTAAGGACATGCCGAGGGCACGCTCCGTAGAATTTATGTCTAATTTCTCCACTTTCCCTTTGCTGCCGACCAAGATCGAACGTTGCTGGAAATAATAGCTCGATGTCTCGAAATCGAGTTTCGCGGAAAATATATGTATAACTGTCATGCTTTGTTTATTCATGGCCTTGGTAATTCTTCATTTTAAATCTGCAATTTAATTAGTGGAAAATTATACTTTACGAAAATTATACTTTACGAAATCATCTGAAATTATTAACAGGAAATATTTAGACATTGGTACACGGAGAGAATTTTCTTTTAAAATTTATCATAAAATATAATATGATTGTTGTAGTACAATATAATATTTTGAAGATTTTTACTATGCACTTCAGTGAAATTAATCAAACTTACTTTATACTTACTTTAAACTTACTTTATACTTACTTTATTGTATAGTTTTGTTAATGAATGAGAGAGATTTACATTCTTCGAAATACAATGTTGTTACACGACTATCATTTTCAGAGTAAACTCTAAGAAAAAATTCTTTCCATATATAGCATGTTTAAATATTCCTTTGAAATTAGTGGCAAATTTGATGTTACAGATGATTTTAATATTATTCATGCATTTACGATTTTGAAGAGGTCTTATCTTTTGCCATGCTTCATATGTACGTGAATTTTGCCAGCGAGAAAGACACAATTGTTTGACACGTAATTTCGTGAAAATTGTTAGTCATACGTAAAAATGCATTCTTTGAGTCTATATCACCTTACGGTCTTCTTTTCTGTATCAGATGCCTCACTCCACCGTTATGCAATAAGACCATTTTGGCCTTAATCCGACGAAGTCTGGAATGAAGTTCGAATAGTCGACAGTTTTGTGTACAAACTGCTACTTGGTCTTTAACCTGAATGCTGATAAGCGAGTTTTAAGCTCCTTAAAACAGAGATTTTAAGCGATCACATAAGAAAAGTTGACTAAAAGTTTTAGTAGATTCTACAAAAGACTTTTAGTAGATTCTACAAAATTATACACTTTTAAGAACATTCTCTGTAACGAAATCAGTGGAAGAAAAAGTCAGAATCTAGATGAAAAGAGGGAAATTAATAATTTTCATAAACGTAACATGAAACTGAAGTATTTAGTTTAGTATATCTTGTTACTATGCGAAACTCTCTCGAAGGACTAAGTTCTACATGTTTACAAAGCAAGCAGAGTCAATATGAAGCTAGTATGTCAATATAGAATCAAGAAATCCTTTACATATTGGTAATAAGGGAAATATTTTCTAAATAGGAAAGAAATCCATGTTCTGACGAGAATAACTTTCAACAGGATTACATTTGCGCTATCAGAAAAATAAATCTGATCTCAGCTTTATATTAAGAAATCATGATCGTGAGATTCGATTAAGTAAACATCACGATATTGCAAGAAACGCGCTGCCCATATCGCCTCACGTAACCATCGTATCCGCACGTTATTATTGCAATCTAGTTCCTGCTAGAAACGCATGCTCAACGTGCATACATTCGTGTTAAAGGCTGTCATGGTCGCATATTGCCGGGAGTACTTGGAGTTATTTCAATCGCTCGTCCGTCTGTTACCTGCTTTAACATCTTTCAATGCAACGTCGCGCACGCACGTTTTGTGCCTTTTTATGGCCACCGCTTCGCAAAAATCGCACGCTCGCGCCTACATGCATACGATGAGTTTCTTGCTGATGGAGCTACTTTCCTTCGAGTTCTTGTTACTTAACTTTCAAACTTTTTATTATATTTATATTATATTCTTTCATTATATTTACATATTTTCTATAGGTTCCCCAATTATATATTTATCATATATCAATATGTCGATTATTTAATTACTTGAGATATTGATAATTCTTGAATAATTTTCGCGAAATTATTTACGTCAAGCAATTATCTTACTTGCTAGCAAAATTCTTGTAAAGCGTAGTAAAAGATAAGACCTCTAAAATTATAAAAGCATGAATAATTTTCAAATCATCTAAAATATCAAATTTATCCTTAATTTTAAAAGAGTATTAAACATGTTATATCATATCTAAATATTTTTAATCGAATTTTATATAAAACGATTTCGTAAAATATAAATTTACTAAAAATGTCACAATTTCTTTTCTTCTTCATCTAATATCTCGCTACTCATAAGTCATAATAAATCGGCATACGCGGAAAGATATATATTTTTTTATTTAATTTAATTTTTTATCGGTTAACATGAAATATAGAAAATTTTTATCTTAAAAACTAAATTAATAGATCCGATGTGATTTTCTATCGACAATTTTCTTTGCAATCTTTTGAATCCATTTTCTTAAGTTGAAAAATTGTTACGATTATTTCTACTTTCCACATTCTTTAAAAAAGCTCCTTAGAAATCCTCTTTGGGGCTCGTTTAATAGACGATTACTGACTCTATCGTTTGGCGAATCCGATAGTTTCTTGTACCCGCCTCTCGCGAACCTGCATAGCTTGATAATCACAGTGAGAGAGAACAAGTGCAATAAAAGGTAGATCGAGAGAAAAGAGAAAAGGAGAGGAAAGAGGAGAATGGGTTTCGTTCGCACAAGTGAATGAACCCAGCGGACCGAGTGAGAGAGGTGTAACACATTCATTTAAGCGATACTTAAGCGACTAAATTCTCACAAACGCAGGCTACCGCGTCAATGGTGAGATTTTTATTTATTGCAACTCGTTGTATTTAACCACAATGCTAATTGCAATGCGATTCGTGTCGCAGTAATTGCGTCTATTACGCGTATTATAGCAGTTGTCCGGAATTATAGGTCAAACCCCCCCGCCGCACGAGGGAGAGGAGTTGAAGTGGCGATTGTTGCGGATATGTGGGTTAACGTAATCCATCGACCTGGATTCTTTGCTGGCATCATCGTGTAACGAGCGACGTTCGTGGTATCAAGGACACCGCGTTACCTTCAAGTGTTCGCTTTTATTCCGTTATCATCCGACACTAACGTCGCTCGCGGCGATTCTTAATCCTTATGCAGCACATACGTGTATTGTACATGAAATTCTTACTTCTACAAGATATCCAAGAAAAGAAAGTTGATCGTAGGAAGAATTTTTTTCGTAGGAAGGATGAAGTTTGAAACTATGCAATATTGCGGATTAACTCGCACAACTAATACGGCTTGCATGAAAATTGCTGTCTTGGGAGTTTTTCGTCTACTAACTTATAATAGAATACATACATAAAGAGTCTTTGCTTCAAAAACTAAACTAACAGATCCGATGTGACAGTTTATATTAAAAAATTAATAGAATTTTTCAACACTTTTTTTACAATCAAATCTATTTTTTTAAGAATTTATCAGAAAACCAGAGATTCTTCGAATTCAAATTTTCTAACTCACAGTGGAATTTGAAGGAAATCTTTTTCAAACAGTTTGGTTTGCTGCACGAAAAGAACAGTTTTGCTAAAGTACGTAAAAAGCTAAATTTGAACATAATTTTATTGGATCATCAAAATTATATAAAATCGCGTCAAATTATATAGGACATCCAAACTGGTTGTTAGAAAATCAAAATTTTTTGCTCATCGTGCTTAGGATACGTAATTATTTTGATGGCCCAACAAAATTATTTTCAGATCTGCATTTAGTTAAATTTTTAGATCAGCACAATCGTTCTTTCTGAGCAGTAAAAAAAGTTAATTCTACTTTTACTCTTTTGATGAATAATACATTTTCATTCGTTTTAATCAATTTTTCTATTAAGCAACATTATTTTTATTAACATTTCATATGTTAGTCTTATATACACAAACACAACAATGAAGGTAATTTATTCGAGATCGGGACACGACGAGGGGGTCGCCCTGGGACTAATCTCATTACTCTCGGTAATGTGGAAGAGTTAACGTGTTATCGCTTTTCGATCCCCGCAGTGGGGACCTCACCGAGCGATCCTATGCTCGGTGAACCCTCGCAATCCCCTGAAGACCCGTGTGCACGCTTCTGTTGCAGTTACGATAATGTAGACTCGCCTAATTATGCCAGGCACCTGAACGGGCACGGCTCGCCGCCGGCTAACTCGTCCCAGCGCGATGGCATCCACGGCGGTACCGGCGGTGCCTCCTCGCCGTACAATCACAATTATTCGGGAGACGGCAGCTATCAATATGGCAGGTTCGACGCGAGCGCTCTGCACATCGCCCATGCGCTCAAGCAGACTGAGCTACAGAAGGGCTACAGCAAGGCCCGCGAGAAACCCATCGATTATTATCTGGTGAGTCACTGGTCGATCGGTCGGTCGGTCGCTCGGCCGCGGTTGATGTAATCGCTCTCGTCATGGTCGTCGCCGTATAAGGACGAGAGTGTTACTATTCCGACACGCGCGTGGCATGCCGCGAGCTAGCTAAGCGATTGCGTCTAACATGCTGTTGTAAACACGCAATTTCCTGGAGAACCGGAAAACCGTTCTCTTCCACGGAGATCACGAGTCAGCATCTTCGGAGCGGAGACACGGAGATTGTTGCGCCGCGCCGAGCGGATGCAGCAGTCGCATTCGCTCCGCGCGGCGAGAAGCACCAACAGCACTGAGAGAAACGACTTTATTAGGAACAAATCAAGGGAAAGCAAATGTGATATTTGTTAAAAAACTGATTTGTTACGATTGCAAATTAATTCGTC